ACCGGACAGCGGGTCAGGATGACTGTCCACCAAATGACAGCCCCATCCCGCCCCTTACCAGCCACAACCTCTTAGACAAGGTCCTTGCGTCTCTGGGCCCTCACCTACCCCTGCAACCTTCCAGCCCCACCATGCAGCTGGCCTGGCCTCCCCTCCCTGGGGCAGAGGTGCCACTGTCCCCAACCTCCTCGAGCTGCCGTGAGCTCAAGTCTGGGCACGAGTTCGGAGCAAGCCTCCAGTTTACCAGAGCACATCACTAGACACTCCACGAGCTCCCGACGAGCAGGAACCTGGCCCCTGGCCTCCCTTCCGCGTCCCACCACACCAAGGTGCATGAGGGCATTCATAAAAGGCTTGCACGTGGCAGTGGCCTTGCCCACAAGCTCCCTCCCTCCAACTTACTCTCCCCTGGTCTCCACACTGTTGCCCGCAGGTCCTGAAAACACCACTGAGTCCCCGTCATGGAACACCAGGTACTGGCGACAGAATCGGATGCTCTCCATGCGCTCCAGGTCCCTCTGGGTCCACTCTGCGAGGAGGGGCACGAGGCCGTTCAGCTCGGCTTGACCAGCCCCGCACAGGGTCCCCCACCCCACCTCCCCCAGTATGTCTCGGTATTCTGGGTGCAGGACGGACAACACTAGGCCACGACTCAAGACTAGGCCTCCAGGGCTCGAGCTGACAGCATCTTGGAGAAAAACCAGCACTGCTCCCGGCACCCGGCCTGGGGCCTTGCGGCAGCCCGCAGGCCGCTCGCCACGCCGCCGGGCGCCGCCCCCCAGCGCACTCCGCGCGCGGCGCCCTCCGCCCCGCTCTCCAGGCCCCCGCCCCACACACCCGTGTGCACCGTCCGGTAGCGGCCCCCGTACTGCGTGGTGACCTCCGGGCCCAGGCAGGCGGCGCTCAGCGCGGGCTGGCGGCTAAGGCCCCGGTACAGCGCCGCCGCCTCGTCGGGCTCGCTCAGCAGCACCTGCGCAGGGGACACACCTGGGTCAGGCCCGGCCCGGGCTGCGGGGACCACGCGAGCCGCGGGCCGAGCCCTCACCTGCCGCTCCATGTCGCGCTCGGCCGCCGCGGCGGGGCGGGACCTGCGGCGCCCGGAAGTGAGGTCCGGGGCGGGCCCGACATTGACCAATGGGAGAGGCATTTCCGTGGGGGCGGAGCTTAGCGGCTTGGAGGCGGGGCGGGGCGGGAGCGACGCGCGTGGGGCCGGTGAGGACGCGGGCTTGCGGGGCCCGGGAAGGTGCGGGACCCGGGCCTGGGCTGACTGTCGGCGCCCTCCGGCCCATCACGGGGCAGAGTCCCCAGACCGTGTCGGGCCGGCTCTGGAAGAGACGAGGGCCGGGGGCGCGGCACTCCCGGGGCGCCGCCGAGCTCTCCGGGTGTCGCTTGGGCTTATCAGCCGCCAGGCCCAGCCCTAGAGCTTATCTGTGCCCGCAGCCCCCCGCCGCCCCGCGCGGACGCTCCTTGCTGAGGGCCGTAGGCCCCTGGGTGCAGAGGCCCCGATGGAGTCAGGCCCTACCCAGAACCGGCGGGCTTTCTGGAAGAAGCGCCGGCTCCCTTCGCACCGGTGGCAGAGGGGGGCAGCAGGCAGGCCGGCAGGGGTATCCCCTCCCCCGCGCACCTTGAGCTGATCTCCGCCTCGCCTCGGGGCCCTGGCTGTCCACACCCAGCCTCGCCTTTGACTGAGATCCTCCTCGCCTGGCCTGCAGCTTCCCCTTCCCCATGAACCATATTAGACTCGTTAAGTAGAAACAGCCCCACTTTCTGATGCCACTTGCATCTGTGTGGGCAGGACTGCCAGGGACATAACTGGGAGCAGAAAGCATGGCCCCGCCACCGATTTGGGTAGAAAGGCTGGAAACTAGGGTGTTCATCGTCCTCGGAAAATGGGACGTGGCGCCTGTCCATCAGGGTGTGGGCGCCCCAGGGGCTGGGCATTGGAGGACCAGCATCGAAGTGCCTGGGATGGACATGTAGAAATAAACAGGAGGCTGGAAAACAAGGTGCTGCACCTTCTGGCTTCCGTTTAAATGAAAAAGTAGAAAACCACAAATGAAGGACATGCACCAAGACCGTAGCTGAGGGAGGGCCAGAGGTGAGGCCCACACTCTTTCTTTCCATCTGTTTTTTCAAATGTTGTAACAGCTGTGGGTTAACTTTGGTAAGGAGGTTCTCCTGTCCTGGCGAAGGACTAAGCCCACAGCCCAGGTTGGGCTGCACAGCAAGGCAGACATGGACAGGGCCAGGGGGCAGTACCTGCTCACCAGCTCCCCGTCCCAGGGAGCAGTCCAGCCAGGTGGCAGGCAGCTGGGGGCGGGGTGGACATGGTCCCTAACACTCTGCACACTGAACTAACTGCACCCTGCACGTCAAAACTTGGGACCCACCCAGAGAGCCCTCATGGAAGGCCCAGTGTCTTTGGGCGGCTTGGTGTGGACTCAGCCTGGCCTGACCAGCATGCAGGCAGCTTCACCCTGTCACTGAACAGACAGGACTGTCCCAGCTTTGGGGACTTGTTCCTCTGGCTCAGCCTTCCCATTTCAGAAACTATCCCAGAGACAGCCTGTAGGTTGTTTACATCAAGTCCTTTTATTCTGATACCACAGAATTATCTTGTCACAATACAGGGGGACACAGAGTACCACGAGTTCTCACAGAACACAGGAGGACAGCGTGATTCACAAGGTCGTGTGGAGGACTCGGGTCATTGCACTTACAACTGTAAACTTGTTTGTCTGACTTTGTACAGCACTCTTCTCCCCTCGAATAAAGAAGGAGAGAAGGAAAGAAATGGGAAAGGGAGAGGAGGGAAGGAGTGAGGGAAAGCAGACCGAGGTGTGGAAGCCGGCAGAGCAGGGGCCTGGGCGGCCGCCACCCCCAGAGAGATGCCCACTGGGACCCAGTGGAAGGAGGCAGATACACGCACACTCGCACGTGTTCCCATGCACACACACGGTATCACAACGCCCAGGGCTCCCCAGAGCACCCCAGCGCCCATGGCAGCAGGGGGACAGAGATGACATCTCTGAGGGGTTCCAGCTGAGCGGCCTGTACCTCCGACCCCGTCAGAGTCCGTGATGACAAGTCTTTACAGCGGTGGTGGGGAGCATGAGGGCGGGGCGGGGGCTGCACTGCCACAGCAAAGGATCTGCCTAGGAGAGCCTCATGGCTCCGGAGGACAGGCCACAGTTGGTGCCACAGCCGCCCTCTCACCCTCAGCCCTGACAGCACACCCTCCTCCAGAGGATGGGGCAGGTGCGGTGAAGGGGGGTGTCCCTGGGCTCTGAAGCGGGCAGAAAGGGCAACGCCTTCACCCATGGTAGGGAGGCAAGCATGGAGAAGGCCTGGTGCGCATCCCAGAGACCACTGCCTGTTGGACACGTGCTCCATGCTCCCCACTGCCCAAGGCAACACCCACTGGTCCCTCAGGTCCCTGCTTCAGCATCCCCAGAGCCACAGCCGCAAGTACACAGTGGCCAGGGGCCGCTCACAGGGGTGGTGGACACAGAGGTGTCCTGTGCATACATTTGGGGGTTGGGGTGGCAGATGTCACAGGTTTTAAACTCAGAGGGCTTGGTTAGGAAGGAAATTTGCTGAGAAGCCAACATGTACAGCCTGAGACTGGGCCCGATGGAGGCCGAAGTGCTGCCATCTTCTCGCCTGGCTCACCCGGCCTTGGTGGGAAGGAGTGCTATCCCGTCCCCCCGAGCCAGCCACCAGGCACATCCCCACAGGGAGCTGGCCCTGGTGCTCAGGGGCCATGGAGGGCGGCCTCCCTCAGCCCTTGCCTGTGGCCTTATACAGCCCAGGCCCAATCTCTGGTGATCAGCCCCATGGGATGCAAGAGGCCCCAGTCCAGGAGGGTCGGGATCTCAGGCCCCACACAGCTTCCAGGGGCAGGCCAGGAGCCCTCTCTGGAGGGTGGTGCTGACCTCGGGAAGCAGGAGACGTGCAGAGCCCTGAGAAATGCACGGTGCAAAGCTGAGTGCTCCAGAGGAAGACTAGGCCTCGAGGACTTGGGCAGCCGCTGGCGGCCACGCTCCTGGCTCAGACGTAGAAAGGATGGTGAGTGGTGGGGGCCTGGGCTTCAGAGGCAAGGGGGAGGGAGGGTAGGTCCTGGAGACACATGCAGAGAGGGCACAGCAGGCCTTCCGTAAGTTTTGGAAGCTACTGAGAAGCTTCCAAAGAAACACAGCTTGAAGCCGTATCTATAAATGTGCTCTGTCCAAGAAGGCATTCTCCTCTGACCTTGCCACAAGGGCCAAGTAGGGCCAGCCCTCCCTGAGCACCCTGTGAGCCCCCAGGCCCCAGCCCACATCCCCAGGTTCACAGACCTTTGAGACTCGAGCCACAGAAGAGAGGCACAGAGCAAGGGCAGTCAGGAGCCAGGGTCCTCAGGACACAGGCAGGCCCTGCCCTGGGCCTCTGCCCCTCTGCCCACAGGCAGAGCCCAGCTCTGCCCTTGAGCGGTGTCCGGCTGGGACAGGGCAGCCAGATGCCCTGGCTCAGGGCTGGGGGAGCGACTTACAAACGGCAAGCCTACAGCGGCCTTCAGAATGCCCAGTCACACACATCCGTACAGGCTCCACCAGCGGGTCTACTCCAGGCCCCCTCACAGCTGCCTTCCGAGTCAGAGAGACCCGCAGGGCGCGTGGGGCGTCGCGCTGCCTGCCCTGCACCTGACATGCTCGGGCTGGGGCTCCAGCAGGCACCCCTGGCTCGTGCACAAGTCAGCTAGAAGTGCTCCTGAAGGAGAGGTTCTGAGGCAAAAGGGCTCCAGGCAAGAGGGTCAAGCATTTTAAATGGATGAGATCGTGCAGAGGCCGCAAGCTGTGCATGCCCCACTGCAGGACAGGCAGGGCCCGCCTGGTGGCGGCGCGTCCTCACCACAGGTCGAACATGCCACAGACAGAATTTCACACACACAGTGGGAGCAGGGGGCGGGTGTTCAATTTGAGCATATCTGTCCAACTTCTCAATTGCATGTTTGCAATTAGTTCCTTATCCATGACATGGATTTATTAAATGTTAACAGTTGTCTTTGAGGGTTCATATTTCATTGCATAGACATTAGAGATGAGACTCGTGGTGGCGCCCAAGGTGCAGGGAGGCCCCATGGAAGGGCCCAGTCTAGTGGGAGGATGGACAGCGCCGTGTCCCCAGCACAGGGCTCTGGACCCTTCCCTTGGCTGCCAGGCCCTGGCCCTCTGCTCCGAGCTCACCCACCAGTGATGGCTTAAGGACAGGAATTGCACAGTAAACAGGCAGGTGCAGGGCCTCCCCTGGCCTCGCCCTGGGCCGTGCTGTTGGCGGCCTGCTGCCCACTATTGCTTCTAGGTCAGCGTGTCCCTGTGCTGAGCAGGGGCAGAGCAGAGAGGAAGCCAGACCATCAGTCCCGAGGTGGCGCTGGAGGGGAGAGGAAGCAGGTGAGAGCAAAGCTGGAGGAGAGACGGGGAAGGGGGAACCAAAGAACAGCTGTGAGGTATACACGCGAACCCAACGGAAACGGTTAAGGCTGTTGTTGAAATCAAAAGAAATCCCCAGGTGTGTGAACAAGGAGCCGGCGGTGGAGACAATGGCGTGCGGCTGGGACGCTCACGGTGGCTGGGGCATGGCTTTGAGGTGGGGGCAGATGTGCCACCCACATGGGCTGGGAGAGGCCTCGGCCGGCGCCCACGCAGCTCTTCGGTACTACGGCCTCTTATTTCAGCGATGAGACAGTGTTAGGTCCTAATGTTTGTAAAGTTCTCCCAACCCCACGCAAGCCACATGAAAGTCCACTCCACTGTCACCCAAGGGCAGGGTGAGGGGGCAGGGCCAGCTGGAATGTGAGGGGGCAGAGCCCGGGCCTCCAGCCCTCAGTGAAAGGCCCTCTCCAAGGCTGTGGAAAAATTCTGGCATCATGGAGCCGGGGCAGTACCCGTCCAACACAGGCAGCATGCACCCGAACTCTGCGTGTAACATGGGGAGCTCGGCTGGCCGGCTGGGAGAGGCGGCTGTGGGGAGGGCAAGACTGCCGGGCACAGGGTCTCGAGGGGGCTCCTCCCTCCCCACGTGCCTTGAAGGTGGTGCCCGAGGACAGAAAGACAGTCTCAGGTCCCCGGGGGGATGGTCCCACTTGTCGAGCTGATGCGCCACCCTGGCGGCTGCTGGCAGAAAATGTCCCGTCCGGGCTGCCTGCCGCGTCCTACCTGGTGTGAGTCTTTGAGCCAAGGCTTCGCCAGACCGGAGACACTTGGAGGAAAGATGGAGAGAGGGAGGGGGGAGAGCAGGGCTTGTCAAGACCTGTGCCAACGTTTCCCGCCACCCCCCTCTCCTGCACGGCCCCGCCCGGCCCCGCTGAGGCCGCCTGGAGCTCACACAGAAGGAAGCAGGCAGGCCGCGAAGGGACAGTTCTCCGGGGTAACATAAGCTGCTTTCTGCTTTGCTTAAGAGTGAGAGAGACAAGAGTTGAAGGCAGCAGGCTTTCCCCGGCCCCCTCCTGAGATGGCCACGGACACCAGGAGAGGGAGGCGCCGACGCGCTGACCGCTGGCCTAGTCCTCAGCCCCGTGCCAGGAGCTGAGGGGGATCCATTTGACCACAGTTGGTGGCCTCGGTGGCCCGTCCACATGGTGTGGCAGGACAGAACAGAGCCACGCCTGCAATTCCTTTCCCTCCTGTCCCAGGGGCTGCCCTGCAACCTGCCCTCAGCGTGACCCGGGATTTCACAGCTGTTCCGGCAACAGCGAGGACACACTGCGGAGCAGGTGGCGCCCAGAACCGGTGCTGGGCCGCCCGGGGCTGCTGCGGTAGAGCCAGTGCCGGCCTCTGACCTGGCCACGAAGCCCACGGGCTGGCCCCCGCCCCTCAGGCGGCACTCGCCCGCTCTCCCTCCCGCCCTGGCTCTGCCGTGCCTTCACTGGTCCCCGAGGCCCACACCATGGCTCGCAGGGCCCACTGCAGTGGCCACTCCCCGGCCGCGAGCCCGGCTTCAGGCTGATGCTTTCTCCAGGGCAGACCCCGCTGCCCCAAAACTCTGCTTCCCTGGCTTCGTGACACTATTCACTTTGAGAAATTACCTTTTTAATCTAAGTTTTAGTGTTTAACTGATTTATTCTCTGTTCCCTTAAGGGACTGTCAGCTTCGGAGGGCAGGAACTTGGCTTTATTTCCTGCTGTATCCCAGCACCTGGAACAGGGCCTGGAACCTACCTAGGGCTTGACAAAAACGTGTGGAATAAATGAGTAAGTGGATGGAAGATGGGGCCTCTCCAGTCCCCCCACCGCTCCTCTGGAGCCAGGCAGCCCTTCTGACACTACACCCAACTCCCTCCCGGAGGCAGGCCTGGCCCAGGCAGGGGCCCCAGGTGGCTTCATGACCGCCTGGGACTGCCACACACACACCTGCCCAGAGCAGAAGAGCCTGTGAGTCCACACCCTTAACCGGAGAAGCGGCGAAGGAGGGGCAGGCCCTGGCTGTGGGGCGGTGGGAGGTGGGCCCAGGCTGTGCATGGAGCCGTGCCAACAGCCAGGTACCCTCCCCGCCATCCTGGATGGGGCACTGCCTTCTCCACCCCACATGGCTCCGGAGGACAGGCCACAGTTGGTGCCACAGCCGCCCTCTCACCCTCAGCCCTGACAGCACACCCTCCTCCAGAGGATGGGGCAGGTGCGGTGAAGGGGGGTGTCCCTGGGCTCTGAAGCGGGCAGAAAGGGCAACGCCTTCACCCATGGTAGGGAGGCAAGCATGGAGAAGGCCTGGTGCGCATCCCAGAGACCACTGCCTGTTGGACACGTGCTCCATGCTCCCCACTGCCCAAGGCAACACCCACTGGTCCCTCAGGTCCCTGCTTCAGCATCCCCAGAGCCACAGCCGCAAGTACACAGCGGCCAGGGGCCGCTCACAGGGGTGGTGGACACAGAGGTGTCCTGTGCATACATTTGGGGGTTGGGGTGGCAGATGTCACAGGTTTTAAACTCAGAGGGCTTGGTTAGGAAGGAAATTTGCTGAGAAGCCAACATGTACAGCCTGAGACTGGGCCCGATGGAGGCCGAAGTGCTGCCATCTTCTCGCCTGGCTCACCCGGCCTTGGTGGGAAGGAGTGCTATCCCGTCCCCCCGAGCCAGCCACCAGGCACATCCCCACAGGGAGCTGGCCCTGGTGCTCAGGGGCCATGGAGGGCGGCCTCCCTCAGCCCTTGCCTGTGGCCTTATACAGCCCAGGCCCAATCTCTGGTGATCAGCCCCATGGGATGCAAGAGGCCCCAGTCCAGGAGGGTCGGGATCTCAGGCCCCACACAGCTTCCAGGGGCAGGCCAGGAGCCCTCTCTGGAGGGTGGTGCTGACCTCGGGAAGCAGGAGACGTGCAGAGCCCTGAGAAATGCACGGTGCAAAGCTGAGTGCTCCAGAGGAAGACTAGGCCTCGAGGACTTGGGCAGCCGCTGGCGGCCACGCTCCTGGCTCAGACGTAGAAAGGATGGTGAGTGGTGGGGGCCTGGGCTTCAGAGGCAAGGGGGAGGGAGGGTAGGTCCTGGAGACACATGCAGAGAGGGCACAGCAGGCCTTCCGTAAGTTTTGGAAGCTACTGAGAAGCTTCCAAAGAAACACAGCTTGAAGCCGTATCTATAAATGTGCTCTGTCCAAGAAGGCATTCTCCTCTGACCTTGCCACAAGGGCCAAGTAGGGCCAGCCCTCCCTGAGCACCCTGTGAGCCCCCAGGCCCCAGCCCACATCCCCAGGTTCACAGACCTTTGAGACTCGAGCCACAGAAGAGAGGCACAGAGCAAGGGCAGTCAGGAGCCAGGGTCCTCAGGACACAGGCAGGCCCTGCCCTGGGCCTCTGCCCCTCTGCCCACAGGCAGAGCCCAGCTCTGCCCTTGAGCGGTGTCCGGCTGGGACAGGGCAGCCAGATGCCCTGGCTCAGGGCTGGGGGAGCGACTTACAAACGGCAAGCCTACAGCGGCCTTCAGAATGCCCAGTCACACACATCCGTACAGGCTCCACCAGCGGGTCTACTCCAGGCCCCCTCACAGCTGCCTTCCGAGTCAGAGAGACCCGCAGGGCGCGTGGGGCGTCGCGCTGCCTGCCCTGCACCTGACATGCTCGGGCTGGGGCTCCAGCAGGCACCCCTGGCTCGTGCACAAGTCAGCTAGAAGTGCTCCTGAAGGAGAGGTTCTGAGGCAAAAGGGCTCCAGGCAAGAGGGTCAAGCATTTTAAATGGATGAGATCGTGCAGAGGCCGCAAGCTGTGCATGCCCCACTGCAGGACAGGCAGGGCCCGCCTGGTGGCGGCGCGTCCTCACCACAGGTCGAACATGCCACAGACAGAATTTCACACACACAGTGGGAGCAGGGGGCGGGTGTTCAATTTGAGCATATCTGTCCAACTTCTCAATTGCATGTTTGCAATTAGTTCCTTATCCATGACATGGATTTATTAAATGTTAACAGTTGTCTTTGAGGGTTCATATTTCATTGCATAGACATTAGAGATGAGACTCGTGGTGGCGCCCAAGGTGCAGGGAGGCCCCATGGAAGGGCCCAGTCTAGTGGGAGGATGGACAGCGCCGTGTCCCCAGCACAGGGCTCTGGACCCTTCCCTTGGCTGCCAGGCCCTGGCCCTCTGCTCCGAGCTCACCCACCAGTGATGGCTTAAGGACAGGAATTGCACAGTAAACAGGCAGGTGCAGGGCCTCCCCTGGCCTCGCCCTGGGCCGTGCTGTTGGCGGCCTGCTGCCCACTATTGCTTCTAGGTCAGCGTGTCCCTGTGCTGAGCAGGGGCAGAGCAGAGAGGAAGCCAGACCATCAGTCCCGAGGTGGCGCTGGAGGGGAGAGGAAGCAGGTGAGAGCAAAGCTGGAGGAGAGACGGGGAAGGGGGAACCAAAGAACAGCTGTGAGGTATACACGCGAACCCAACGGAAACGGTTAAGGCTGTTGTTGAAATCAAAAGAAATCCCCAGGTGTGTGAACAAGGAGCCGGCGGTGGAGACAATGGCGTGCGGCTGGGACGCTCACGGTGGCTGGGGCATGGCTTTGAGGTGGGGGCAGATGTGCCACCCACATGGGCTGGGAGAGGCCTCGGCCGGCGCCCACGCAGCTCTTCGGTACTACGGCCTCTTATTTCAGCGATGAGACAGTGTTAGGTCCTAATGTTTGTAAAGTTCTCCCAACCCCACGCAAGCCACATGAAAGTCCACTCCACTGTCACCCAAGGGCAGGGTGAGGGGGCAGGGCCAGCTGGAATGTGAGGGGGCAGAGCCCGGGCCTCCAGCCCTCAGTGAAAGGCCCTCTCCAAGGCTGTGGAAAAATTCTGGCATCATGGAGCCGGGGCAGTACCCGTCCAACACAGGCAGCATGCACCCGAACTCTGCGTGTAACATGGGGAGCTCGGCTGGCCGGCTGGGAGAGGCGGCTGTGGGGAGGGCAAGACTGCCGGGCACAGGGTCTCGAGGGGGCTCCTCCCTCCCCACGTGCCTTGAAGGTGGTGCCCGAGGACAGAAAGACAGTCTCAGGTCCCCGGGGGGATGGTCCCACTTGTCGAGCTGATGCGCCACCCTGGCGGCTGCTGGCAGAAAATGTCCCGTCCGGGCTGCCTGCCGCGTCCTACCTGGTGTGAGTCTTTGAGCCAAGGCTTCGCCAGACCGGAGACACTTGGAGGAAAGATGGAGAGAGGGAGGGGGGAGAGCAGGGCTTGTCAAGACCTGTGCCAACGTTTCCCGCCACCCCCCTCTCCTGCACGGCCCCGCCCGGCCCCGCTGAGGCCGCCTGGAGCTCACACAGAAGGAAGCAGGCAGGCCGCGAAGGGACAGTTCTCCGGGGTAACATAAGCTGCTTTCTGCTTTGCTTAAGAGTGAGAGAGACAAGAGTTGAAGGCAGCAGGCTTTCCCCGGCCCCCTCCTGAGATGGCCACGGACACCAGGAGAGGGAGGCGCCGACGCGCTGACCGCTGGCCTAGTCCTCAGCCCCGTGCCAGGAGCTGAGGGGGATCCATTTGACCACAGTTGGTGGCCTCGGTGGCCCGTCCACATGGTGTGGCAGGACAGAACAGAGCCACGCCTGCAATTCCTTTCCCTCCTGTCCCAGGGGCTGCCCTGCAACCTGCCCTCAGCGTGACCCGGGATTTCACAGCTGTTCCGGCAACAGCGAGGACACACTGCGGAGCAGGTGGCGCCCAGAACCGGTGCTGGGCCGCCCGGGGCTGCTGCGGTAGAGCCGGTGCCGGCCTCTGACCTGGCCACGAAGCCCACGGGCTGGCCCCCGCCCCTCAGGCGGCACTCGCCCGCTCTCCCTCCCGCCCTGGCTCTGCCGTGCCTTCACTGGTCCCCGAGGCCCACACCGTGGCTCGCAGGGCCCACTGCAGTGGCCACTCCCCGGCCGCGAGCCCGGCTTCAGGCTGATGCTTTCTCCAGGGCAGACCCCGCTGCCCCAAAACTCTGCTTCCCTGGCTTCGTGACACTATTCACTTTGAGAAATTACCTTTTTAATCTAAGTTTTAGTGTTTAACTGATTTATTCTCTGTTCCCTTAAGGGACTGTCAGCTTCGGAGGGCAGGAACTTGGCTTTATTTCCTGCTGTATCCCAGCACCTGGAACAGGGCCTGGAACCTACCTAGGGCTTGACAAAAACGTGTGGAATAAATGAGTAAGTGGATGGAAGATGGGGCCTCTCCAGTCCCCCCACCGCTCCTCTGGAGCCAGGCAGCCCTTCTGACACTACACCCAACTCCCTCCCGGAGGCAGGCCTGGCCCAGGCAGGGGCCCCAGGTGGCTTCATGACCGCCTGGGACTGCCACACACACACCTGCCCAGAGCAGAAGAGCCTGTGCGTCCACACCCTTAACCGGAGAAGCGGCGAAGGAGGGGCAGGCCCTGGCTGTGGGGCGGTGGGAGGTGGGCCCAGGCTGTGCATGGAGCCGTGCCAACAGCCAGGTACCCTCCCCGCCATCCTGGATGGGGCACTGCCTTCTCCACCCCACCCGAGGCTCCTGGCGAGGCTGGCATCCTGCCTCGGCCACCATAGCCCTGATGGGGCCAAGGCTCCCATCCTGAGGCCCTCTGCTCTCCCGGGCAGACCTGGTCTGGGGTGGCCTCCCTCTCCTCTGTCCCTTTCTAGTCTGCTTCTCCACTCGTGCTCCTCCCCGCTGAGGGGGCACGGGCCCAGCCTGTGAGGCACCAGTGTTTTAAGTGCCCACGGGGCCGAGTGCTGCAGGCTCCGGGGACTCCGGTCCCACCCGCTGCCTGGAGCTGTGGTGCCAGCACCAAGCCTCGGGGGGGAGGCTTTGGAATCGGTGCCAGCACCCCCTCTGTTGGGCCCCTCCTCAAGGTCACTGCCCGAGTCACCCCTGCCAGCCTGCGGGTCTCTGCTTCCCCGACCCAGCTGAAGGAAGCCCCGGGGCCCCTTCTAGGTCACGCTCGCTCGTAGGACTGGCTGGGTCTGGTCAGCCAGGCCTGAGGCTGCACCCCTTTGATCCACACACTCACTGTTATACGCAGAGTCCAGAGCTGCGCCCAGGCCCCTGACTCCAGAGGTTTTCCCACAGCAGTGACATCATCTCCATCTTGTCAAGAGCCTGT